AGAGTAATGGGAGAATTTTACTGTTGACATTCTTAACCGGAAGTTGACCATAACTTCATTAATATTGAAGATAAATATGTCGTGTTTGGACTCATTTTAAAGGATTTTTCACGACGATTACAAATATGTCAAAATTGACGTTGACATTCTTAACCGGAAGTTGACCATAACTTCTTTAATATTGAAGATAAATATGTCGTGTTTGTACTCATTTTAAAGGATTTTTAACAAAGATTACAAATATGTCAAAATTGAGGTTGACACTTTAAACCTGAAGTTAGTTATCATCATGTCATCAGTATTCTGTGATAAAAATGGACAGGCACCAAACAATTTTCAATAGTTTGAGCCTGTCTATTCTGAGAAGTCTTAAGTATATTTTTAGAGAGATAAAAACGAAAATCCCGTTTTAAGTGATGCATAATGTGGTCCAATTGACACCGTGTAAGATTTATTATTGATTAATTTTTTTTCAGTCAAATTGATAATCCCATCTTATTAAATACTGATTATATCGCTCACATTTTTGTTCACCTACTTGAACATTGAAATACAACGCAAAATTATTTTTCGTTCTACCACTTTCAATAAATCAACGTTAACAATTAACGTCGTAATGGCATTAAAGTCCTTGAAATAACTAAAAATAACAATTATAAATTAAATTTGATTTTAATTTTTGTTATTTTATTAAGAAATCTTTAACATCTTATTTCCTTATCTTTTTCTATATAATTGAAACAATAAAAAAATTATCAAAAAACGTCACATATAATTGAAGAGTTATATACGATCGAAATCAACGACTTTATTTCGACACTAATTAAAACAAAAAGAAGATTTAAATTTTTTTAAGATTAATTTCGATTCTTATCGAAATCAATATATTTCGAATTCGAAATCGATTCGGATCAGTTGCTAATTTCTAATCGGGGGTAAAAAATGAAACTTTTCGTTGTCTTACTTTTATGCCTTTTGGGCAATTCTTTGGCGAGCGTGATTAAATCGAAAGAAATCATCCAACTTAACGAATCCGACAGGGTTAAACTTGAACGCGCTTTAAAACAATTAGAGGGTGGCGATAAATCCATTTTAGATGAACTCCCTAATATTATCTTTGATTTAATCGTCAGTGCAATTGGAAATTCCGATTTTGACCCGATGGGTCTTCCAGATATTAAGCTCGATTTTGAGGAGGTGATCTTAATTTTTATAAACAATTTTTTTTTTATGTTGTTTATATTATTCAGGGACGTTTAACTGGGGATCTTCAATTAACCGAGGGGGAAGTTGGGGGATTTTCAGAAATTTCTAGGGCTGGAGATGCTGAAGTTAACTTATTTATTTTGGAAAGAAGAGCTAACGTAAAAATTCCAGTTTTCTTTGAAGAACTTGGGGTGGGTTAATAATCATTAATTTTTCTTTTTAATAATTTTTTTTGTAGCTTTCTTATCGTTACTTTGCTAGATTAGGGCTTTTGGGTGTTGATGGAACAATTAGCGGGGGATTCGTTGGAATAACCACAGTTTTAGACATCGACATTAACTTGGCAAACATGGATATGAGTCTGAACGAATTCAGCATAGACGCAAAGTTAGTTTCTGCTATCATTAATACAATTAGACCCTTCTAATATTCGCTTAATTTTAGTGATTTCCGAATTAGATTCGATAATAATCCTTGGACCGATTGGACCATAAATCTTTTATTAAGAATTATTACAAGTATTGCAAAAGAGCCGATTTTAGAAGCCGTTGAGTCCGTATTAGAAATAATTTTCGGGATTATTTTTGGAAGCATATAGGTCGTAATAATTAATGTAATTTTACACGACATAAACGTGGCAATTTATAAAAATAAGGGTTGTTATTCCCCTAGCTAAGCTAAGTTAAGGGGGTTCTTTTCGATATCATAAATCGCCTTCTTGAAACCCTCCTACAACGCAAAAATGACCAAAGGACGAGATGTAAAAGCCGATAATCTCGAGAGCGATTCATAACGTTTTACGACTTTATCTCGAGTTATTTTGAGAAAATATTAATATCAAATTCTTAAAATAGAAACTAATTTAATCTTAGAATCGTGTTGTGATAAATATGGGGATTAGATTAAGTTATAAATGATAAAAGTAGTAACAAAAGAAATCGTTTTAAATCAGATTGTGCCAAAAAGAATTTTTTAATTTTCATAAACACATTTGATTGTTATGTTAATATAAAAAATCGTATCTCAAGAACGAATTGAGATATCACTATGAAATGAACAGCATTTTATAGGAAATTTAATGTAGATTTAGTGTGCGATAAATAATTTCTTAATTTCCATAAACACCCTTTCTATGATTTTTTTAAATACAACCCTGTACACGTGATTGTTATAAATAGTAAAAGCAGTTCTATAAAACATCGTATCTCAAGAACGGATTGAGATATCATGATGAAATAAGAAGCATTTTAAAGCAAATTTAATTGGGATTGAGTGTGCCATAAATAATTTCTTAATTTCCATAAACGCCGCTTTTATGATTTTTTAAACACAACTCTACACATTTAATTGTAAATTTTAAAAATAGTAACATAAAAAATCATATCTCAAGAACGAATTGAGATATCACTATAAAACGAGCACCATTTTATAGGAAATTTAATATAAATTTAGTATGCGAAAAATAATTTCATAATTTCCATAAACACTCTTGCTATGATTTTTTAAATACAACCCTGTACAGGGTGTCCCAAATTCTTTGTCCGCATAGGCTATCTCCGAAACTAACAGAGATGGACAAAAAGTAGCCTACATGTCATGATCTCATTTTTCGAGAAACTGCTAATGCCGAAAACTCCGAACAGCTATCGTCTTTTGTTTGTTTGAAAAATTTGCGAAAACGACAAACGCGAATATCTCACTTATTACTAAAGATGGAGTATTATAATTAAAACATTGTATGGGCACCTTTTTACGAAGAATTCAGTGGCATAGGTACAATTTTCTTTCTATGCTTCTATGGCCTAAAATAATTCGTTATTTTTTTCTGATAATAAATATACAGGGTGTGTCAAATATCTGGAATATAGCGAATAACTTCGCCATTTGTGGTTTAAAAAAAATGTTTTAAATACAAATTATTTTATTAATCGTTGCGCACTTTTTGTATTGTTTTTTGTTTCGTTGCTATGGCAACCAATATAGTTATTTTAAATGGAATGCATATTTGATAGAGGATAAATCCCTCTATGGGATGAACGTATCAAATCATATGGTTATGTAAGAAAAAAATCGAGAAAGAATACGTTTTCTGAACGTAATACGATATATTCCAAACATTTGACACACCCTGTATATAGTTTGTTGAGTATATTTCTTGTAGTTATTGAATATTTAGCAACAATTCGTTTTGTTCTTTCTAAAACTATTGTATGTATTTAAAACGTAATGTTGCTATGGTGATAACCATACCATGATGGAAAACAATGTTTGGTAACGATTATTGAAAAAGTTTGTATTTAAGAATTCACTAGCAACTCTGGCATTATGTGCAGATGCTCCGCCATGTTGAAAATACAGGGTGTCTCACGTAACTGGTTCGTTAGAACTTTTTAAGGTTCCACTATTCGTAGTGGTTTGAAATTTTGGTAGCATGGGTTGTTCATTCTAAACTTTCGATCTAAAATATTTTCAAGATGGCCACCCTTTCCGGTCTACCGGAAGTAGACCACAACTTCGTTATTTTAAATGGAATGCTATAGTTTTTATTACACCTTTCAATTATACGTAAAAAAATATGTTGACTTTGATAAAAGTTGTTGGTACCTAGCGTTTTTTGTTTTCGAGTTATTTTGATTTTAAGTGTTTTTTGACAAATTTCACCCTGGTCTTTAAAAGCCCATATCTCAGCTAACAATCATTCAAAAAAGCTCTGCATTGGCACGACTACTCTACAGATGCTGCCAAATAGATTGTCATTTGTTGTATCAGAGAATCTTATACAGGCTGGTCAAAAATTGAATTATCGTTTCTCAATATTCAATTGCGAGAAAGTAGAAAATTTTAAATGGAACACCCCATATTTCTTTACCCTATCAGAAAGGGTATTTAATTCTTTACAAATTATTTATAAACATTCCTATACCTATTTATTGTAGTTTCCCTGATATTGGAAAATTAATCAAAATCAGACATAGAATCCCAAAGCCCGTTTGTGTTTTTGTTAGCAGGCCAAGACATTTTGACAGTTCATCGTTTAATTTATTTAAATTATCGGTGAATTATACACTTGATTTTTTAAGTGACCCCACAAATAAAAATCCAATGGTGTTAAATCTGGAGATCGTGGAGGCCATTGCCATGATTATGAAACAAATTTAAAATATCGGCGTTGGAATAATTTGCCATGATATACAATGACTTTCACTCGTGATCAAAAGTAAGTAACAACAATAATAACACAAATATGGACCAAAAACTGTCAAAATTCCATTGCCTTCTAATAAAAAAATCAAACGTTTTCCCGCATTCCGTGCATGCTTTGATTAATTTCCCAATATCAGGGAAACTACAATAAATAGGTATAGGAATGTTTATAGATAATTTGTAGAGAATTAAATTCCCTTTCTGATAGGGTAAAGAAATATGGGGTGTTCCATTTAAAATTTTCGACTTTCTCGCAATTGAATATTGAGAAACGATAATTCAATTTTTGACCAGCCTGTATAAGATTCTCTGATACAACAAATGACAATCTATTTGGCAGCATCTGTAGAGTAGTCGTGCCAATGCAGAG